AGCATCTGCAAGATGGCTGGCGCATCCGGACTGCCACGGCCACCAAAGGACACACTGTACATAGGTCCGAAGCCATTTGGGGAAACGGTGCCAGCGTCACAGCGAGCCTCCAAGAATGCCTTCACCGTGCTTGCATTGGAAACTGCGACAGCTCCCGTCAACGGCGGTGACGCGGCCAAGTCTGCTTTCTTCTCCAGCAACACCTGTACATGGCCCGGCTGCGATGCTAGCCATGCCGCGGTAACTAATGAGCCACCCCGGGAGACGCACACAATGTCAGGATCGGCCCGCGACATGATAAGGGTGGACAGGATCTTCGGCTCTTGAGAACTATAGGCGGCCACCATCAGCAAAGTTAGAGAATCGGAGTATCCCAGATGCCCAAGACCGCTGACACGAGCGTTGACATCTGCACCATTCTTGACCAAGGTTTCCACGATATCTCCATCGCCAGCAACAATTGCGCACAGCAAACCCGTCATGCCACTTTCATGCTTCACAGCTTCATGGAGACTCGGAAAATTGAAGTGTCGCAAGAAGCCCTGAAGGCTAAAGCCTCCCTGCTGTTGACCGAGCAATCTGGGCTCCTGCGCCAAGTGGAAGCGGTAGTCCGTCAAGGGCCCCCACCGATCCAAGTGTTCGATCTTGCTTCTCAAAGCCCGTTCCCCAAGCTTCATCACCACAGCGCGGTCGCTTTCCACTGTGAACAAGCCATCCGCGATCAGGCTTCTTTGCCAGTCCATAGGCATAATGTAGAGTGCCTCTCTGTCTGAAAATATGACAACCACCCCGGTGTCCTCTCGATTTGACAACAGGCGACACCACAGCTCCGCTCGACACCAGCCTGGAGGGGCGAGACACAACACATGCATTGCAGTGTCATCGAGACACCATACAACCCTGACGCACCGAAGCATAAACAGAATCGACCACTGATGTCCAGAGGTCATTCTCTTTTCGTCCTTGATTTACTCATATTTACTCCCAATACATCTAACTCATGGCTGGGGTAGTATTAAAAAATGTTAACGAGTATTCCTTATTGGGCGTAAGTACCCATGGAAAAATGTAAAATGCTACCCAACCATGACAAAGACATGTCTTCCCTTCTTCCACCCGTGATGATTCTGTCTTTCTGTCCCACCAAGTCTTCTTCTTGTTCTTTGCTTCTCGCCTCCCACCCCCCTCCCCTTTCTCTCCGGCCCACAGAGCTCTTCCAGTTCTCAGATTCCGATGCTCGTACTTTGCATTCAGCGATGATTTACTTTCATGGCTTCCCCATGCCATCTACCAACACCAACATAACCTTCAGCATCAGAACAGTGGAAACATAGAAGGGCATGCGAGCCTCGTGAAAGCCAAGTGCTATAGTTGCATTGCAGCCCGGTATCACTGTGAACAAGGTCGGGGACGAGCGCTACGAACATGTCGCAAGACTCCACGTATGCTGGAATGCTCTGAACCGCGCGAGCTGTATCTGATTTTGTGGCATCGTCATTCACCCCATCGGCTCTTTCGGTGAGCTGCGGAATTGCAAACCAGTCTAAGAAAAGATACCCAGTAGCCACGCGATCATAGCTCGTCGTGAAATGTCTTTGATCTCCGAAGGTGCGCACGAGATCGACTTCCACCGTCATAGATCCGTCTATCCACGCCTGTAGAGCATGCCGCAACACCGT